ATGATTCACAAATCTAACAGCTAAGAACAATCTCGCTTGGTCGAATCAACGGTGAAGAATGATGCTGAGGATTTGCCATGCGTTAGGAAGGAAGAAACATTAAATTCAAGACAGAGAGTGAGCTCCATGTCATGATGATGATCATCACAATGACATGACCTAAATGTGAGTAGTTGAAAATCATAAATTCTCATTTGCTCTGTTTTTGCATATGTTTCTTTAAAGTAAAATCTACTTCGGGACCCAATACATTTATCAAACCAAGATTCAAACTTTCTGATTCAAGAAGCCACCAAAAGGATGAAATAGACGAGGGAAAGTATGGAACAGAGCAAAACCAATAAATTTGGTTACTATAAAAATTGATGATATTCATCAATAAATTTGGTTATGACAAGAGTACTATAAGTTAGTTAAAAAGCAATCATGTTCAAACAAAGAAATATATATATATAAAACTGATTTTCAGATCTATTCCACCATTTACCAACCACATGGTTGTTGTATTTATGATCTCTACAATAAAATATATAACGAGAGCTATTACAGTGAGAATTTCAGTTGTTTTTATAAATAAAATATAAACTATAAATAGGAAGATTTTACCAATCACAGAAAATGTTGGATTCCTAGAATGACTCTAGATGTCGGTAGACTAGTGTTTTTTCAAAGATATCTCAAGATATCAACTTTTCCGATAACAAAAAGTGGGCTTCGATTGATGAAATCACAATGGATGCAATGGAGAACGAACCTCGAGTTTCTAGTCTAAGAATCTTTTAAACTCATATATAACGAACAAACAAATCATTACCTAGTCTATATATCTCTTTAAAAACTTATCTACCAAAAGATGTAACGAAGAAAACGGTTATGACGGATTTCCTAGAGGATTTGGCTAATCCATGATATAGTACCAAAAGGGTCACACTCGATGTCGAACAAAATGGAAGAAGAAACGTAACTGACTCTGCTTTGTAGTTATAGTTCATCTGAGGAACGGCTTCGAGAAGAAAAGTATTGTAGAGCCATGTCCTTTGCGATTTGAAGCAAACTCTTAACGTCCTTGCTTCCCACTTCGAGACAGTCTTGTAACAACTCTCCATCAACTACTTCAGCTTGCACCATCTCCCAAAACTCCCTCAATGCACCCTACAATGATTATAACACAACAATGTATAGAAAATTTCAGCCCATAAAATATCGAATAACTCTCGAGTCAAAGAGTAACTCCAATAGCAAACATGTCCATTAGGAGAGATCAAAACAGAACAATGAACAAACTTTATTAGTGATTGAGCTAACACAAACAACAGTCTCAATTATGAATATTTCAATAACCATCTGTTACAAGAATCAAAGTGACCTAATAGATACAACTCTTAACCTCACCTACTCAACACATAGTTACAGAACAAGATAATCACTGGAACTCAGAAACTGCACATTTCAAGATTTGCAGTAATAAAAAAATCCGACCTTTTTACTGTAATTCATGACAAACCCATGTTTCTGCTACTGTACTGAAACTAAAGAAGATCAATCTTTTTAGGGTTTTTCGAAATCCTTACCGATTTACCAAAGATACTGAGAAGACGACGAAGCAATCGTTTCGAAACACGAAGGGCTTTACCATAACTCCGAGCAACAGAGCTAGCTTTATCAGAATTCGATTCAGCTCGATTAAACTCAGTCACTAAACCCATAAGCTCATTGAGATCACCAATCGCACCATACATCTCACCGTAATCGATCCCTCCTTTTCTCCAAGCGTAATTCCACATGTAATCCCATCCCACAGACCAAGCTCTGCTCAAAAACCCTAACCCTAATCCACGATCGATTTCCTCGGCCATGGATCGTACTCGAGACGATCCTAATGCGTCGCCGCGCGAGGCGCGTAGGTTCGCGACGCGGAGAAGGAGGGATCGTGAGATCGAGATTAGGGTTTTGTACTGTGTGAAGGAGGAAAGGAAAGAGAAGCCATTAACGAAAAT